CTTGGATGTCAGCTATGGTCTCTTCAGGGTATATTCCCAGTAGTGGAATTGCTGGGTCAAATGGTATCTCTATTTGCAACTTTTTGAGAAAGCGCCATGCTGCTTTCCACAGGGGTTGCACCGTTTTACGCTCCCACCAACAGTGAATCAGGGTTCCAGTTTCCCCACAACCTCGCCAGCAGAAACCATTTCTACCAGTGAATAAGGAGGAACTCAGTGTGTGTCCTCCTCACTGTCTTTGGTCTCATCTGGTTTGTGAGGCCAAACAGTGCAGTGATACAGAAGAACTCTGTGTTTACAAATGGAGCTCTGAGGTAGAGTCCCTTTAGTTTGGTGTCCTCCTCAGGTCCCCAAACATAGTCCTGAGGGCCACCCCAGAATACAGTAATCCCAGTTTCCTGTCACCAGGGAAAAACCAGTCATGGCTTCTTGGTGAGTGTCAGTCACATTAGTCCTGAGGACCTGTCAGGTGTGGCATGTTGAGCTCAGGCCTGGAGACTGCTCCCCAGCTCCAGAGAAGCTGACTGCTGCCTTTGAGAAGCAGACTTTTCCCTCAACCCAGTGATAAGACCAAGCTGGACCTTTGAAAGGTGTCACTGACTACTACCACAGCTGCCTCCCAGAAGTGGGGAGACCTCATGGAAGTGTAGCTTGACCATAGGACACCTTCCCCTCAGATGCACACCATTTCTTACACACTCAGGCCTAATTTTCATGACTTGCTAGCTCTCCTCACATAGTGAGCTCCCTTCATTTTTCCATTTCACTGCAGAATGTCTGCATTTTAAAATTAAAAATGTATTATGTTCAGACACTGGGTGCCATGTGGTAGGTGCACACGAGGAAGGAGACAAGTGAACCACTGCCCAGGCAGCCACAGGGTAACCCAGAAGTGTCCTAAGGGGCCACTCAGCACATAATTGCATCACGTGGGACTCAGCTTCTTGGAGAAGTCTTCCTTGCTTGAAGACTTACTTTTAGACCCGAAGGGCTGAAAGGATGCTGGATGTTCTAGAAAACCACAGATAGCCTGGAATGGGTTGAAGGGAGGATATGCAGGTGTGGAGTGTGAGTGGGACCACTGAGAGGTGGAGGGCCTGATGTGGTGGAGGGCCCTTGAAGGCCTGTGTGCATCCCCTGTGAGGTGAGCACACTAGGGGAACACTGCTGGTTTCAAGGGTATAAGGGTCTCCTTGGACCTGTGAGGTAAGGTAATGAGACTATTGAAGATGTTAGTGTCTGTGAGGCTCCCAGTTAGTAGAGCAGTTGCGAGGTGTAGGCAGCCTTCAAGGCTGAGCACGTTGTGCTAGTAGAGCATTGTGGGTAGGCTTCCAGGTACTGAAGCACAAAGTCGGTGTTATGGCTGAGGGCATTTTTTTTGTTGTAGACTGGACACTTGGTCTGCTTTTCACATAATGAGTAGCACCAAGAGGTGGCCTGAAGCAGTTCCAGCTGCAAATTGCTTGAAAACAATTTTGTTGAGGGTCAACAAAAGAGGAAGGCCACTTTTCTACAAAGATGGCGCCGAAAGCGAAGAAGGAAGCCCCTGCCCCTCCCAAAACTGAAGCCAAAGCAAAGGCATTGAAGGCCAAGAAGGCAGTCCTGAAGGGCGTCCACAGCCAAAAAAAAGAGAAGATCCGCACGTCACCCATGTTCCGGCGGCCTAAGACGCTGAGACTCTGACGGCAGCCCAAATACCCCCGGAAGAGCGCTCCCAGGAGAAACAAGCTTGACCACTATGCCATCATCAAATTTCCCCTGACCACTGAGTCAGCTATGAAGAAGATAGAAGATAACAACACACTTGTGTTCATTGTGGATGTCAAGGCCAATAAGCACCACATCAAACAAGCTGTAAAGAAGCTCTATGACACTGATGTGGCCAAGGTCAACACTTTGATTAGGCCTGATGGAGAGAAGAAGGCCTATGTTCGACTTGCTCCTGATTATGATGCTTTGGATGTTGCCAACAAAATTGGGATCATCTAAACTGAGTCCAGCGGGCTAATTCTAAATGTAATAAATTTTTCTCACCAAAAAAAAAGAGGAAGGCCCTCAAAGATAAACAGTGAGTGTGACTATGGACTTGAGCATCATGCAGATTGTAAGGATGGCAAAGAACAGGGCAGATTTCCGTCTGTTATTCATAGGGTCACAAACCTGGGATAGACCACAAATAAGCTCACATCTGTTTGTGATGAAGAGCCTCCTGAAAGCAAGGTATTGAGAGCCAGAGAAGGAGAGGAGGCCATGCCAGGGCACCTCTGAGGAGACAGCACGGGAAAGGAGGCCTGGACTATATGGGTTTGAACCAAGGGTCCCAGGGACGGCTGCAGGGCTGCCTTCCAAACTTGAGCATGTGTTTTTTTCCCTTCCTTTCTGGAAGAACAGAGCAGGGAAAGGTGAGTGCTTGACCTGATCTCAGGTTGAAAGCCTGCACAGCCAGTATTTGGGACACATGATTGAAGGACTGTACAGGTGTTGAGGGTAGAGATCATGTTCCCTTTGGCTTAGTGGGAACAGTTGAGCCTTTGCATCCCTCAAGTATGATGGACACAAAGGGAGAGTGGAGCATTTACTCTTGAATTTAAGACTTCTGGTCAGGGCTGTGTCTGCAGATGACAATACCTAGGGACAGGATGGCAGGACTACTGTAGACAGAAGTGATTAACTCTCAGGCCTAGTGCTTTTCCAGCATATACCCTCGTCAACCCTCTCAGAGTACGCCCATCCCTGCACTGATGTCTAGGTGCAGTCCTGTGCCTTGGTCATGTTCCCACCAACACCCAATGTAGGGATCTTGAGTCTCTTAGGCCGAAGAGCAGGTTTCTAACTCTGAAAGTGTTGTTATTTTGTTTTGTTTTTTCGTTTTAAATCAGTTAGGCATGTAGAAGCTTCTAGAGAAGATGGTGATCTTTAAAACATGTAATCAAGTCAGAAACACTGGCATATGAAATGGCAACTTTTCAGGCTCGAAAAGTTGTTTCCTGGTTGCAAAGAGAAAAGAGTGATTCTACAGAGAAGGGGAAGTCTCCTTTTCCTGTAGGAAGTGTTGTATCACTGCCTCTCCGGCTAATGTGGTTGAATTGGCCCCAGATACCATTGCATCACACACACCAGCAGGAATCAGGACAGGACAGTGATAGCAGGCTCAGCTCCCCATGGCAGTGGCCAGCTGCAAGGATCTGGGAGCAGACAAGGAAGATAACCCATGTCCTTTCTTCCAGATTTGTGGATTGCAAGGAGTGTGGCCGGAAGATGCATCAGATCTGTGTGCTGCACTATGACATCATCTGGCCCTCAGGGTAGGTAGTTGTGTGATGAGGGGCGCGGGATGGGTCTGCTGTTCTGGCCACTTTTGTCCTTGTGATCACAGGAGCTCCACAGTTAAGACAATGGAAGCTGGTTCTAAGTTAGTCTGGTGTCTGGCCTTGAGACTGAGAGAGCTGAAACAGCCTGCTTCTCCAGGCATTGTGCCACCTACAGAACATCCAAATACACACCCAGGTTCATACTGTCTTAATCACACTCATTATTTTTTATTCGTTTTTATTGTATTGAATTGCAGTTTTGTATGTGACAACTGCTTGAAGAAAAGCGGTAGAACTCGAAAAGAAAACAAATTCAGCGCAAAGCGTAAGTTTGCTGGAGGTTTCTGTTGTTCTGGTCTGTCTTTCTGAAAAGCATGCCCATTTTATCCCTTTCTTATGGCATCACATGTTTGTGGGACTTAGCAAAAAGGGTATGTGTCTTTCTGAGTTTGTCTCCCAGGCTTTGTTCTTTTCCATCTTACCCTCGATGGCACAGTCATTATATGACAACTCAGAGGTTAAGGAATTGCACTGTTAACCTCAAGGTTACAGGTAAGACCTAGCAGCCCCTTCCAGGGAGAGGTAGGAAGCTGCCCTAGGAGGCTGTGCTGCTTGAGCCCACACGATCACTTGAAGTCAGAACCAGTTGACTGGGGATTTGTGTTGTTTTATATGAAAGTCAGTCAACTCTGCAGTTAGTGTTTTGGTTGAAGGTTTAGGTACTCAGCTAGTGTCAGTTCTAAGAGATGAAGGTGGACAGATGGCCCTCCTCCTGGAGCTTAGAGAGAAGATGCACACCCCACACTGATGCACTGTGAAGATCATTGACTGGGTCGGGGGTTGGGGGCACACCCCAAGCCAGCTGGGGATCAACCATAAGCCACGCTCACAGTGACAGCTGTAAGTCAGCCTTGCCCTAGCAACTGTGTCACAGTCCTGTCTTTCCCCCTGATTGTTGTTATTGAAAATCCACACAGCATTCTTCAGTTCAACGACACTGATCATAGTCTCTGGTCTGCTACTTTTCTCACCTTCTCTGTCTGAATTGGTTCCTCTCATTAATGTGAATGCAGAGGTTTTCTCTTGAACCTTCCAAGTTGTCAGTTTGATTCTGTGTGCTGGCTTGCTCAGCTATCTGAAAATAGTTTTCCTATGAAACCACCTCTGTAAGTGAAAATTCCATGAAGCAATGACACAATTACCTTTCATTTTATAGAAGAAAAATTTTGAGCATTTCCAGACCAAAAATAAAAGGTGCCATATCATACCAAATACCACACAGAATCTACAATAGTAGATCATAACGGAACATGTAGTGTTCACAGAGCCAAAACTGGAAACATCTTTTTTCTCATCAGAAGCTGAGTAGTTCCTAGGAAAGGAGTTTGGCAGCACCAGTTCTGCTGCTCGGGGCACACGGAGTGTGTTGGTCAGCCCGCTTCAAAAGAAATGCTTAGCCATACTTTGCCTTTCACCCTTTCTTTTATTTTTATATATATATATAAATTTTAATGAAAGTTTACAGAGGCTTAGAGTTTCCATTCAGTCATTGTTGCCCTTTTCTCCCTGCCCTGCCCCCATTTCGCTCTTCTTGAAAATTAAAACTCTTTCATTGTTATGTAGTCCCTCCCCCCCTCCCCAGGTCCACTCCACTGTGCTGCCTTCATTCTGGATTCCTATCATGACAATAATGCCCAATCATAGATCCCTTTATCTCTTTCAATGCCGTATACATCATTCCTCCCCTCTTCCTCTGTCTTCCCTCAACCTTGATGTCAGACCCATTTTACAACAGTGGCCCTGTGCAATATTTGTCCTTTTGTGACTGAGATATTTCACTCAGCATAATGTCCTCCAGGGTCACCCATTTTGTATATTTCATGAGTTCCTTGTTTTTCAATGCTGCATAGTATTCCATTGTGTGACTATACCAGAACTTTTATATCCATTAATTTGTTGATGGGCACTTGAATTGTTTCCAATTCTTTGCTATTGCGGACAAAGCTGCAATAAAAATGAGTGTGCATATATCTGCTTGAGTGACGGTTATGGTTCTTCAGGGTAATTTCCCAGTACTAGAATTGCTGGGTCAAATGGTATGTCTATTTGCAACTTTTTGAGAAAGAGCCATACTGCCTTCCATAGTGGTTGCACCATTTTACACTCTCACCGACAGTGAATAAGGGTTCCATTTTCTCTGCAACCTCACCAGCGTTTGTGGCTTGTTGTTCTGTTAAATTTTGCTATTCTGACTGGGGTGAGATGATAATCTCATAGTTGCTTTGATTAGCATCTCTCTTAGAGGTACGGATTTTGAACATTTTGTCATGTGCTTGTTGGCCATCTGAATGTATTCTTTGGTGAAGTGTCTGTTTATATCCTATGCCCATTTTTCAGTTGCGTTATTAACTTTATCTTGTTGTGGTGCTTGAGTATTTTATAAATTCTAAATATAAGTTCCTTGTCTAATATATTGTTACCAAATTTTTCCCCCCAATCTGTAGCTTCCCTTTTTACCTTGTTGGAGAAGTTTTTGGATGTATATAGGGATTTGATTCTTAGACGGTCCCATTCATCTATTTTATCCTTTTCTGATTATAGATTTTCCAGAATGCTTGGAAGACTATGTTGTGGATTAGGGCATCTAGAGTTTTTCCAGGTTTTTCCCTAATGAAGTTTATAGGGTTTGTTCTTTTTAAGGGGAGAAAGAATCTTCTTCTGATTTCTTTCCGTTATGAAAACCAGTACTAAAGTGGGTCTGTTGTAAAACCAAAATGAACTTTCAAGAGGCAAGGGGATATACTCTATATAGTTCTTGAAATAAAGAACTGGAGAACAGTTTTTTACCCTTTAGGCTAGAAGTCCACAGTCAGGATGCTGGCTCTAGGAGAAGATGTTTCCTCTGTTGATTTTTAGGGGAAAGTCTTTGTTTCCTTCAGCATCTGGAGGTTCGCCATCTGTGGGAATCACCTGAGCCTTGGTCTTCACCTATGTTAAGGAGCTTCCCAGCGAAAAGACCTGAGTCCATAAGAAATGCTCTAGTCCTGACTCTCTGCCTTGATTTCATTGAGACCTCCACCTGGACAGCTCCTTAAAAGAGCACAGTGCTGGAAGCAGAAGGCTTCAGTAGATATTTTGAGTTTAAGGTTGTAGGTATCTCAGGGCAGTAGTTTTCAGTGTTAGTGTTTTGTATATGTTTATTTTTTTTTCTTTTTTTTATGTATATGTTTATTTAAACGGCATGATTTTTCAAGCATCATGAACATTTTATCCTATTCCAATCCATTCTCAATTATTAGGATTACATGTATGATTTGGTGTCCCCAGACTGTCCTAAAGCCAAACAGCAGTGAATTATTAGAAGCTCACGTGTCCAGGGCTCTGTGCACCAGTGCCTTCTCTTGCTTCTTAGGACCCACAGGAGGTCCTGAGAAGCTGGAAGACGGGGAGATAGAAATAGAGGGAAAGAGCACTCAGAATCAGCTATTAAAGAGCTCATCCCTGCCTCACACCACACAAAACTGTAAATGCAGTCAGGAAACAAGGGGAGGCCTAGGGTACTAGGTTATATCTCAGCCAAGAGGGAGAAAGAGGTCACAGGAGCTGGTCATACCCAGTGAGGAGAGAGATGCAGGCTGGAACACTGCAAAGGACAATTGCAAGGTAGGGTTTGAGGACAGTTTCAAGTGTATGTGTTTTGGGGCCTGACAGGTCCACCTTTGGCATGTGTCTCGCAGGTATGTTTTTACACTTGCACAAAAGTAGTGCAGTTGTGTCCCCAAATCAAGAGTGCAAAGAATGTTGTGATCTTCTGAGAGCCGACTGCACATCCTGTGGAGGAGTACTGGATCCTGAGTGGGAGAATTTGTGTGTGTGGATCCCAGAGGTCCCCACATATTGTCTCATCTGGGCCCTGTTGACTTTCTAGGACTGCAGGCAACACGATTGGGAAACCACTTAGAAGACCGTGTGAACAAGTTTCTGCGGCGACAGAACCACCCTGAAGCCGGGGAGGTTTTTGTCCGAGTGGTGGCAAGCTCAGACAAGACGGTGGAAGTGAAGCCGGGCATGAAGTCACGGTGCGTGCACTCTGCAGAGGGAAGGCCACCATTTTCTCACCGGCACAAGGGCCACCTCCTGGTGGTGGCTGAGTGTGATGACATGATTCAAAGGCTTGTTTGTGGTTCGCAGGCACAGGCCAATTTGCTCAACCTCTCAAGTGGTGTTTTCAAATAACATTCCTGGTGAAGTGAGGGCTGTGAGACTGTGCCCATCTGAGTCAGGAGAGGACCAATTCCCCCCACTTCCCACACCAGCCAGCTTAAGAGCCAGGGTCTGGTCGGAGCAGCACCTGGCCAAGGAGTTATATGTGCCAACATCACCCCTTCATTTCGTTTCAGGTTTGTGGATTCTGGGGAGATGTCCGAGTCCTTCCCATACCGAACCAAAGCACTCTTTGCTTTTGAGGAAATTGATGGCGTGGATGTCTGCTTTTTTGGAATGCACGTCCAGGAGTATGGCTCTGACTGCCCCCCTCCCAATACAAGGTAGTCTCCTTCTCGGGGGGAGTAGGTGCTTATTGGGTTACAGTGGGGTTTGGCAGGAGCACATCAGGGAGGCTGTCCCTCAGTGCTGGGTTAGCACCCAACCCAGGATGCCCGATCTTGCTGTTGTCCCACTGTATCAGGACAGGTGAGCTCAGAGGAGTGATAGAAGGGAATGGGGTGGGACAGCTGGGTGAGCCAGGCCTTCCATCACCCACCTGTCTGGTGGTGTCTGAGAGTTATCCTGATTCCATCTAGAACCATGGCACACAGTGCTCATGTTCTGGTGGTGCAGTGGTTAAAATTTTCACCTTTTAGCTGAAAGGTGCTCAGTTCATACCCACCAGTATTTCCGTAAGAAAAAGATGAAGCTGACAGCTTCTGTAAAGATCACATCTATGGGGACCCTGTGGATAGTTCTCTGTCCTGTATGTTCATTATGAGTTTGAGATCAACTTGAAGATCAGGGTGGGTTTTCTCCATTTCAAAGGAATCTCTCTAATCCTCCTAGACGTGTGTATATATCTTACCTGGATAGCATCCACTTCTTCCGGCCCCGCTGCCTACGCACAGCTGTCTACCATGAGATTCTCATCGGTTATCTAGAATATGTGAAAAAACTGGGGTGAGTCTACGCGACATCATGCAGGACTCAGGATACACCCTGCCTTCCTTCTACTTGTGTGTTTGGTGAAGTGCTGAAGAGAGGTTTTCCATATCCCGTGAATGGACACTCACTTCCGTTTCCACAGTCACCATTCCGTGCTTGTCCGGGTCACACAGTCCACTCGAACAGTCCCATCTCATCACCTTTATTATCTTTACTCTCAGGAATCCCTCTCTCACTGGTCGTCCCCCCGGCCTTTTTCTTTTAAGATATATTTTACATATCATAAAACTGACCTTTTTAGGGCAAGAAGCTGCACTGCAATCCCAGAGGTGCATGGTTTGAATCCACCAGATGCTCTGCTGGAGAAGGAGGGACAATCTCCTCCTGTACCAGTCAGATCCTATTTGATGATACATGCACAAAAAATAATAAAAGTAAAATCTAAAAAAAAAAAAATTTAAAAACCTGACCTCTTTTAGGGGTACAATTCCGTGGTTTCCTATAGCCTTCACCCTAACTCTCAAAGACCTCTTGCCACAGTAGCTGATATTGTCCCTTCTCTGCCCTAGCAACCACTTTCTTTCTGAATTTGCTCTCTGAGATAGTTTATGGGGTCAAGTCTCTGGTGATGACTTTTTTCTGCAGTTCTTTGTTTTTTTCATTGTAGCTCTGTCTCCTTCCATTTCCAGGCTTGAAAAAGTGATATTTATTTGGTAGATAGGTCTTGAAAAGAGTGAATGAGCTGTAATTTACCTTTAACTCCTTAGAGAGAACTGCTCATCTACCTTTTCCATTCACCACAGCAAGTGCACAAGTAGACCTGGTTGGATCTCTGTCTCAAGCTCCTCTCAGGCCTCACCTGATATCTGCCAGTCTATCCTCCCCTGAGAGCACTATGTCCAGGCCTTGTGTGTTAACTTGATCCTCAGCCCTCTATCCCCATGTCTCCTCCAGAACATGAATTATAAACCCTTCAAGTTTCACTACATTCTGCCTCAAGTGTCAGAATAATTTCTAACTTCCCTTTTGTCAGTATTTTTGTTCTTTCATTTGTCCTTGTTACCTGGTTGTCACCCCTTTATGGCAAGCCCCAGTAAATCTGAGCACGAGTATTGAACTGTGTGTTTTCCCTGAAGGTATGTGACAGGCCACATCTGGGCCTGTCCCCCAAGCGAAGGAGACGACTACATCTTCCATTGCCACCCACCTGATCAAAAAATCCCAAAGCCAAAACGCCTACAGGAGTGGTACAAAAAGATGCTGGACAAGGCGTTCGCAGAGCGGATCATTCATGACTACAAGGTACCCAGGCTGGGAGCCTGGCCTCCCAGGATGCAAGTCATTTGTGTATCTTCCTCTAAAATTACACAAGATTGGAAAACAAAACTCACAGAATGAAAGTGTAGCCACGTCCCATCCTGTTCTGTGTTAGTTTCCTTCAGAACCAGAGCATAATGGTCCCCTGTGAGCACATTGCTTATTAAGTCAGCTAGACTCTGAGCAGGCTGGTAGCCTGAATCCTGATGGTCTTTCCAGAGACACAAGATCCCTGATCTACTCCAGCTGTTGTAACCTCAGCAGGCAACCTCTGACGGTCTTCTGGAATGTTCCCTGAGCCCTGCCACCTCATCACTGCAGTTTGTTCTTCCTACAGGACATTTTCAAACAAGCCACAGAGGACAGGCTCACAAGTGCCAAGGAGCTGCCCTACTTTGAAGGTGACTTCTGGCCCAATGTCTTGGAAGAGAGCATCAAGGAGCTCGAACAAGAAGAAGAGGAGAGGAAGAAAGAGGAGAGCACGGCCGCCAGCGAGACCCCTGAAGTAAGACCCCCCTTCCTCTCAGCCTTAGTGAGACCTTAGGATGAGAGGGCACCCTGAGGGTCTGCAAGGAGGTGATGCAGCCACTGGGGGCCTGTTGCCCTCATAGTGTGGGAACAGGGTACCACTGTTGGGCATGGGATGTGGCATTGCGGTGGACTTTCTGTACCCACAGGGAGTTTGTGTTCTTGTCAGATCATGGTGTCCTGGTAGCACAGTGATTAAGCTTTTTGGCAGCTTACCAGAAGGTCGAACCCATCAGTCATTCCAGAGGAGAAGATGCACAGCCTGCTTCTTTAAAGATTTACGGTCTCTGAAACTGTGGGGTAGAGCAGCTTTGTGCGTCACTCGGAGGCAAAATCTATTCACCAGCAATGGATGTGATGGTTTAGGCTAGGATAAAACAGCATGTGTGTTGTCATGCAACTCCAACTCATGTGGCGCTCAGAAGAGAACAAAACCTGGGGTGAAGGGGTACATGGAGAAGCATCATAGCTAGAACAAACAGGGAGGGATAGTTGGCCTGTGGTTATCCATGAGGGTGGAGGACCGCACACACACTTCTAGAACCCATGGGGGTTTTCTGGTCGTAAAGACAGCTGCCAGCAAGAGACCGGGCTTAGGTGGGACAGCACCTCACTGTCTCTACATGGAGGGCCACGGGCAGGAAGAGTATGTCTGGGGGGTTGCAGACAGCTCTGGACATGATCAGGACCTCACTGAAAGATAGCATTCAAGCCATGACTGTGTAACTGTGTGGCCAGAAAGCGCAGTGAGCGTATGGAGCTCTGTGAGGCATCGTCCCTGCCCTCCCCACACACAGCTACAGTATGACCCTAGAGGAAGCAGCAAGTGCTCCAAGGACAGACCCAGGCCAGCCGCGTATGCTGCTCCAGCATTCTCTGGGCTAGATGCACAGAACGTGTGTGCTGATCAGGCTGGGCCTTGCAGTGTGGAGTGAGGCACATATCCTGAAGCATTGCCAGCCCCTCTGGTCATGGCCATTACAGCCACCCTCCCCCCAAACTTGCTTCAGGATCACCTGCCTAGGGCTGCATTCCTAGATCCCCATGGTGGCCAGGGAGACAGGTGACTGTGCAAGACTGATAGCATTCCACATTGTCGCAGGGCAGCCAAGGAGACAGTAAGAACGCCAAGAAAAAGAACAACAAGAAGACCAACAAGAACAAAAGCAGCATTAGCCGAGCCAATAAGAAGAAGCCCAGCATGCCCAATGTGTCCAACGACCTGTCGCAGAAGCTCTATGCCACCATGGAGAAGCACAAAGAGGTGGGCATAGGGAAGCACAAGGTCCTCAGTCAGGCCTGGCCACCTGTTTCTGGTGTGTACACTGCATCTGGGGATTGGGCTCAGAATCCGGTCTGGAGCTTGTTCATTCTGGTGCCTTGGTGGGGGTGGGGGAGCTACCAAGAAGCAGCCCCAAACCTCCAGCCAAGAGGAGGGAGAGATATGCTGTCCACTTCCCTTTCAGGCCATTACACCCCATCATCCAGCTGTGAAAGCCCTCAAAAATGGGGCCATGGTGGTCGTGTTGGGTGCAGGGAGTTTGTGGCCCCTGCAGTAGGTGGGCGCCTACATCCCAGGCTGCAGTTGCATGGGCAGTGGTAGCACCCCCTAACGCAGAACCACCCTCTGTCAGGTGACCTGCCCACTCACCTCCCTCTGCCCACAGGTCTTCTTTGTGATCCACCTGCACGCTGGGCCTGTCATCAACACCCTGCCCCCCATTGTGGACCCCGACCCCCTGCTCAGCTGCGACCTCATGGACGGACGTGACGCCTTCCTCACACTGGCCAGGGACAAGCACTGGGAGTTCTCCTCACTGCGCCGCTCCAAGTGGTCAACACTGTGCATGCTGGTGGAGCTGCACACCCAGGGCCAGGACCGCTTCGTCTACACCTGCAACGAGTGCAAGCGCCATGTGGAAACACGTTGGCACTGCACTGTGTGCGAGGTGGGCACTGCGTGGGGCTGCACCTGGGCGTGATTGGGGACGTGGCCAGAGGATACATGCCGGCTCCCCATGGCCCATGAACATGGGGTCCCTTTGTCATGGTTCTGAGTCAACAAGCAGGAGCTGGCCCCATTCCAGGCTTCCTGGGTTCCCCTGGACACCAGACCCAGCAGTGTGTGGTTTAACTGGATTCTCATGTTTGTACTGTGGTACTCTCTCCATCCTGAAAGGTCACCAAACCCTGACACAGGCTTCATTCTTTAAACCCAGAGCTTCACTCTTACGGATCCTTGGGTCACAAGGTGTTCGGATGCAGCCTCACTCTGGGAGGGACCTCTTAGGTCCTGGCGATTGGCCCATGCCTTCTTCCAGGGCTGTCTCACTCCAAGTTAACTTTCTGCTGTGGGCATTCCAGGGGAACCTGCCAAACAGCCTTTGGGAGAGAGAGGAGGAGAACTCCAAGATGCAGTCTCTCAGCACACTCTGGCAGAGGAGGCCGCTCAGTGTTTGTGCTTCTCAGTGCTGGAGGAGACGAGGTGTGGATGAGACTCCACAGAGGGAGGATGATGACTTGGCCTACAGGTCCACTCACCTTCATCTGTCTGTCTGCCCCTGCACAGCCACCATAACGGACAGAGTGGGCAAATAATAGGGATTCAGCATACCACTTGCTCAGGGAGCATATGAGCCAACAAATGTTGGAGATAGTTTTCAGAGTCTTCTGAGATGGAATCTACCCAAGGGTGTAGATACTGGGAGGGTTTATTTTGCTGTCTGTTACCCTCCAGAGCATAGTCAGGGCTCAGCTGTGTAACAGTGTCAAGGATTCAGTTTTTAGTCATTTTTGCATGTTTACTTCCCCAGCTGCCCTCCCAAACCAACCCTGCAATTTTCAAGGATTCACTTTTGAAGTAGGAGCAATTGAGGGTCTACCCTTAGAATACTGTGTCCAGGTTGCCTTGCTACTCTTGTAGGCTATAATCAGATACTAATCTTCTCTCTTTTCTTGTTTGAAGGACTATGACTTATGCATCAATTGCTACAACAATGTGAGTATGTTGTTATACATGTGAGTATGTAGGACTATGACTTATGCATCAATTGCTACAACACCAAGAGCCACAGCCACAAGTTGGTCAAGTGAGGATTGGGTCTGGATGATGAGGGCAGCAGCCAGGGCGAGCCACAGTCCAAGAGCCCCCAGGAGTCACGACGTCTGAGCATCCAGCGCTGCATCCAGTCCCTAGTGCACGCCTGCCAGTGCCGCAATGCCAACTGCTCCCTGCCGTCCTGCCAGAAGATGAAGCGGGTGGTGCAGCATACCAAAGGCTGCAAGCGCAAGACCAATGGTGGCTGTCCCGTCTGCAAGCAGCTCATTGCCCTCTGCTGCTACCATGCCAAACACTGCCAAGAGAACAAATGCCCCGTGCCCTTCTGCCTCAACATCAAACACAAGCTCCGCCAGCAGCAGATCCAGCACCGCCTGCAGCAAGCCCAGCTCATGCGCCGGCGGATGGCCACCATGAACACCCGTAATGTGCCTCAGCAGAGCCTGCCTTCTCCTACCTCAGCTCCACCTGGCACCCCTACACAGCAGCCCAGCACACCGCAGACTCCACAGCCCCCCCCACAGCCCCAGCCCTCGCCTGTGAGCATGTCTCCAGCTGGCTTCCCCAGTGTGGCCCGGACTCAGCCTCCAACTACAGTGTCTGCGGGGAAGCCCACCTCCCAGGTGCCTGCCCCCCCACCTCCTGCCCAACCTCCACCAGCAGCAGTGGAGGCAGCAAGGCAGATTGAGCGCGAGGCCCAGCAGCAGCAGCACCTGTACCGTGTCAACATCAACAACAGCATGCCCCCAGGGCGCACGGGTATGGTCACCCCTGTGAGCCAGATGACGCCTGTGGGTCTGAATGTACCCCGCCCCAGCCAGGTCAGCGGGCCCGTCATGGCCAACATGCCACCAGGCCAGTGGCAGCAGGGGCCTGTGCCCCCACAACAGCAGCTGCCTGCCATGCCAAGGCCAGTGATGTCCATGCCAGCCCAGCAGGCTGTGGCTGGGCCACGGATGCCCAGCGTGCAGCCACCCAGAAGCATCTCTCCCAGCGCGCTACAAGACCTGCTGCGGACTCTCAAGTCCCCCAGCTCCCCTCAGCAGCAGCAGCAGGTGCTCAACATCCTCAAGTCCAACCCGCAGCTCATGGCCGCCTTCATCAAGCAGCGCACGGCCAAGTATGCGGCCAACCAGCCCAGCCTGCAACCACAGGGCGGCCTGCACTCCCAGCCCAACCTGCAGAACCTGAACGCCATGCAAGCCAGTGTGCCACGGCCTGGCGTGCCCCCACCACAGCAGGCCACGGGAGGCCTGAACCCCCAGGGCCAGTCACTGAACATCATGAACCCAGGCCATAACCCCAACATAGCGAGCATGAATCCACAGTACAGAGAGATGTTGCGGAGGCAGCTGCTACAGCAGCAGCAACAGCAGCAGCAGCAGCAACAGCAACAGCAGGGGAGTGCGGGCATGACTGGAGGCATGGCCGGACACAGCCAATTCCAGCAGCCACAGGGACCTGGAGGTTATCCCCCAGCCATGCAGCCACAGCGGATGCCTCAGCATCTCCCCATCCAGGGCAGCTCTATGGGCCAGATGGCAGCCCAGCTGGGGCAGCTGGGGCA